TGGAAACTTGAGGATGATTAGAAAAGACACTAGAGTAAGATGTAGAAGGCTTATCTATCGTTGAATTACTCGAGATAATACTCCTTTTGCTTAGAGTCTTGGAGATTGCTTATTATTTCAAGAAGAAGATCTTGTTCTTTGGAGAGAACATTAATCGCAGGTTCCTCTTGACTAGACTGGGATGAAGATGATTTTGTATCATCATCTTCGAGTTGGTTAAATTGATGTTCAAGTTCATCATCAACAACATCAGAAGTATCACTATCTTCCAATAAAAGTTGTTTGATCTGGTTAAGAACAAACTCATCTAAATCAAGATTTCTAACTTTGTTAGACAACTTGCAGTATTTGGCTATATAACCCGGTTTGTTACATTTGAAACATTTGCCAGAATTGGGAGTTTGGAAGTTTGTTGGTTTATGTTTATTGGAAAATGTTTTGGATTTAGAAGGAAACGATTTGGTCTTCCTAAACTTGGGTGTAGAAGACCTATATTTCGTAATCTCCATATCCTTGGTTGTTCGTCTCTTATGAGGCTTTTTACTACAAGGTGGTAAACCTAATTGTTCACAGAAACTACCTAGATCTCGGCGGATCTGTGTTCTATCTTTAGCTAATTGTCTTAATATCTTATCATGTCGACAGATTTTGAGAGCGACATGTTGAATGAGACTAGTAAGTTGGCCATAGGTGATTTATTCATAAGGAATAACATTACCAGAATGCTGATTTTGGAATTCTTCTTTAACTAAATCCCTAAGAGACTTAGGTAGGCCATCTAGGAATTTTTCTTTCCAATATGGGAGATTTCCATCAGGTCTTTTGAAAATATTTTCTTGTGAATAAAAATTTGCTCAAAATTTTTCTTTATCAATCTGAAAATCTTTTTCCAAAACACCTAATTCAGTACCTAACACTGAGTAAGTGGAAGATTGAGGTTGTTCATAATTAATTTCTGTCGGAGAGCCTGTTTCTATAGAATATTTGACTTGTGGGATTCTAGAGTCAAAACTAACAGTTTCGATCCTAGAAGGAAAGGAAGATATTGAATATCTTCAAGACTGAATCTCAGACTGTGCTGAAGAGGAAGAGACATAAACTCTTTGGCTAAGGGACCTTTGGAAAGATATGGCTACAGATCCGCTAGAATATTGTTGGATCTGAGAGGCCGTAGTATTTTCTGGTTTCTCAGCGTGAGTTAGGGGTGTTCGTCGGTCAATATGATACAATATTTAAATATTTCGGTTCGGTATTTGGTTTCTTAAAATGTTATACCAATACCGTACCTAATTAAATTCGGTATGGTTAGGTTTTTCTCCTTTCAGTTTCGGTTTATTCGGTTCGATAATTTTGATTTATTCGGTTTGAATATTAACTAGTGCATAGAGTCATAGACTTTAATATTCTTAATTAAAGTACTCAAAAGTACAAAACTAAAAATATTTGTTCACAAAAATTTTGTCTAAAACAAGCAAATATCAACCCAGAGAGAAAACTATACATAAAAGAATAAATTTGATTAATAGAAATGTCTTGTTACTTGCTTAGAGTTAATTGATGAACTTGGAGAATAAAGGAAAGTAAACTTTTAAATTTTTTTATATTTATATTATAATTAATAATATGTGTATTGTATAATATAATATATATTTTGGTACGGTATCGGTATTTCGATATTTTATTTTAAAATATCAAATACCATACCTAATACCAATTTTTTTTTTTAAACTTAAACCAAATACCATACCGAATACCAAATACCAAAATTTTCGATTTTAGTACAGTAATTCGGTATTTACCAAACTATGCACAGCCCTAACCTGAATAGCATCTTGAAGTAACTTGATTTTTCCAGAATTTTCAAAGAGACGAAAGGAAAAATCTCCAAAATATTTACTATGAGTCTTTAAACTTCATAAAAGAGCAAATTAATTTATTCGAATGGTTTGAAGCTTATGCTGAATATCACCAATTAGATTTTCCTTTTTCTAAATCAGTTAACGTTTCAAAAATGTGAAAAACCTCCTCTGGAGAGGAAGTCATCTCACAACTTCCTCAAGCACAAGGATTTTCAGCAAGTTATGCAAATACTTAAGTAGTAGCTAATCCTTTCAAATTAAAAAATAATATATATATATATATATATATATATTGAGCTGAAAGCAATAGGTTTGATTGAACCTATATAACCCTATATTTGTCTCTCCTAAAGATGAAAAATGGACGGTTTAGAACAAACCTAGGTGAGTGAAAAATAGGTCAAAGAATAAGGTATGACTCAATCAGTTCTAAGTTGGCTAGGGTCAAGATTTATCGAATAATAGGTCATGAATCATTTGTCCAACGTCACACCATCTTCTTTTTATTTTGCTATTGGAAAAAGAAATGTGAAAGGCAGTGTATATAACTTAGATTATTAGTATAAGTTCTTCCATGTTTACGTAATCCATAAATTTCAAATTTTATTTTAGGCCAAATACATATGCAGGCCCTTAAAATTGGCTCTAATTTTCATTTAGACACTTTAATTAGCACATGTACCTATTGAATACTCCAACCTTAACAAAATTGTGCCTATTGAGAACCACATACAATATGTAGAAATAAGTTAGGCGCGTGACAACAATTGCTTCCGATGTGGAAAATCAGACAAATAAATGATAGCCACGTGAAAGTTAAAAAAAGAAGAAGCTCTTTCTCCACATTGGATACCCTTCCCCGTCGTTCATCTACTTCTTCGTTGCTTTCCTTTCACTCTTCTACTTTTTCCTTTTCTTCTTTCTTCCTCTTCTTCATTTCATTTCCCCCCTCTCTTCTTCTAAATCTCTGTCCAAAACCTACAGCTTTATCTACTTTCTTTTGTCTTCTAAAATTTATTTCACATCACAGAACACTTGTTACCCCTTTTCTTTACCTAATCACCTTCATTCATCACCCGATTCTTATCTTCGATCTCCATTCGGTACAGAATTAAGGTCATCTGCGGCAATGGAATCTTTAAATTCTTGTTGTATTTAATTCAATAATCTTATGTCACAATATAGAGAGTATAAGGGCCACTATTGTGGAGTGTTTGGATAGCCAAGAATGGAGAATGAAGTGGGCGCCATTGATGGACGGTATTTTTTTAATCTTCAGTATTTAAACAAGAAATTTTATTGGTGGTGAGATGATGATAGTAATACTAAATAATATTTGTAAATACCACGACGACGAATTACGAATTCACTGTAAGGCCCCTAAAACTACTATGAATAATTGAAATTAATGTAAAGAATAAATATTTCATAGGATGGGAAATAACTGGTGTGGTTCCACTTGACAGAGTTGACTTGGACGCTGGTGTAAAAAGCTGGTTGAAGGTGTCGTTTTGGGGTTGAGTAGTCTGTCGGTGTAAAAAGCTGGTTAAAGATGGTGGTGAATGGATAAAGGTGCATCGATGAATATGAAATGAGTGGTCTTCAATTTGTATAAAGGTTGTTAGAGCTAAACCATACAAGTTGAGATCAAGGTGAATCTTACTTTGCTAGCTAACAGTACTTGTCTGCAATGGCTCCGATGAGGTGATGTGTGATTTTTCCGGCGATGGTTGAGTTGGCTTGGAGATTTCCAGTTAAAAAAAGCTAAGGTGGTGATATGGTTTTAAAAAGTGATCTTTAGGAAAATAAAGAAAGATATGTTTTTGGATCAATTCACGTGCAAGAAATGTGAAATACTCTATTTTTGCCATGTCGGCCTATTGTGTTCAATTGATACAATTTTGTTAGGGTTGGAGTGTTGTACAAATCTTAGTTAAAGTGTCTAAATGGAAATTAGAGTCAACTTTAAGATGGTGCCTATGTATTTGACCTTTATTTTATATGCTTGGACCAGCTTAGCTTAGGTTTTGACTCGTTGGATTACAATATTTGACTAATTTTGACTAATGTTTAAAGGCATTTCAGATTCACCCTGTTGGATCAAAGTTTATTTTGACTAATTCCTTTAAACAAGGATGGGTTGCACGGGTTACTAAAAAGTGGATTTATTTTGCCAACTCTTCTATGCTTGAAAGAAGCTCATTGTAATCAGGCTCAAGGTGGTCAGTGACATATTAGGGGAAACTTTGGTTAGTGTGGCATGCCACAGTTAGCTTTACTTGATATAGGCAGGAGAAGTTAGTAAAAAAATAGACAAGGCTAGCTATTTAGGTTTTTGCTTAAAAGAAGAAATAAATATTGGCAATAGAGAGAAGATTGAGCTTCCGTTTGTCAATAGATTTTGATTTTATTTTTTCAAATTTTTTGAAAAATATTTTTTTTTTATAAAATATGATCATATTTAGGAGAAAAAAATTCAAAAAATTTCAAATTCTCAAAAATTGATTTATGACAATTTTGAGTGAATTTTTTTTTTCACTTGTAAAATTTTAACTTTTTCTTCAAATAAAATACATATCCAAATATAATTTTAATTTTCAAAAATTATTTTTAAACACAACTTTAAAAACTCATTTTTTTTAAATTTTAAATTTATGACAATGTCACGCGGTTTGGAGGAGGCAGAAGGAGTGATGAGGACATCAGCTGACTTTGGCTGTGGAGTAAATGCTAATCCAGAAGGTCTGTGTCATAGCCTTCTAAATCGTTTGTTTCTTGAGGAGATCAAACTGATCCTGCATTAAATCCAGTTTACTTTTTTCCTCAAAAAAGTAGTTGGGCGTTTAATTGATGCACACACATATCGGATCTCTCAGTTTGTCGGCTAACGTGGTATAGGTATCTGAATCTCATTCTCCGTCCCTATACCACTAAAACTAAATGGATGTGGAATCAAAACAAGGCAACAAATCCACCGGAATGACACCGCCTCCAAATTACGGATCGCGAAGAGGAAGAAATTGCTGCTTCATCTGCCTCGCCATCCTTCTCCTTTTGGGCCTTCTCTTCCTCATCTTGGGCCTCACCGTTTTTAAAGCCAAAAAGCCTGTCATTACCGTTAACTCCGTTTCTCTACGGGATATGGATTTCTCCCTCGACATCGTCAGGCTCCAAGTTCACCTCAATGTCACCCTTCAGGCCGACCTTTCTGTCAGAAATCCCAATCGGGTCGGGTTCAAATACGACTCTACTTCCGCCATCCTGCAGTATAAGGGCCAGGTCGTCGGAGATGCCCCTATTCCGGCCGGCGGGATAGGTTCCCGTGATACGCGTCCGATGAATATTACCCTCACCGTAATGGCCGATCGATTGCTTTCCAATTCCGGTTTGTATTCCGATATTCTTTCCGGTTCTGGTATGTTACCCCTCACTACTTACGTGAAATTGTCTGGGGTGGTCCGAGTTCTCTTCAAAATCCACGTGAAAACTACCACTTCTTGCGATTTGTACATCGATGTTCTTAACAGGAAGCTCGCCAACCAGACTTGTCATTATAAGACAAAGCTATGATTCTCTCTAGTACCACATTACACGTGTTGATTCGTTTCACTTGTTAGATCTAGTATGTAATTTCTCTAGTACCATATTTGCGATTTTCCCATTATCTTTGTTTGTAGTCTGTATATTATAGTAAGAAATTGAATAACAAAAGACATAGAAACGATTGCTTGGTTTAATTTTCCAAGATGTTAGTATGTAGTCCAACTTCTACTGATCTGGTGAGAAAAGTATCTCAGGTCTTTTTCTTAGCGTATATTTTATCACCAACAACCATATGCTGATGGATGCATTATTTTTAGTTGGTTTTCTGAAACACAGCTAAAAGATATTGCAGATGGGCTTAGTGATGAGGTAATTGCTGTATCCGACTGCTTGAGACTATTTACTTTGTTGCATTCTTGTTGCTCATCGTTTGATGAGTTCATAATTATGGCAGTTCATGTAAACAATTGCTTGAAACTATTTACTTTGTTGCATTCTTATTGCTCGTCGTTTTGATGAGTTCATAATTATGGCATTGTATATATCCGACTGCTTGAGACTATTTACTTTGTTGCATTCTTATTGCTCATCGTTTGATGAGTTCATAATTATGGCATTGTATATATCCGACTGCTTGAGACTATTTACTTTGTTGCATTCTTATTGCTCATCGTTTGATGAGTTCATAATTGTGGCAGTTTATGTAAACGATTGCCGAGATTATTTCATCTTTTGTTATTTTTCCGAATTTCTTAAGAGACTTCAAACATTATATAGTGCAACAAATTTAAGTCTATCCAAAAGCTCAGCTTCTTTCGGGTATTTTATAGACCAAATACATATGCGGCCCATTGTCCCTTTTTTTTTCATTTGAACACCTAAACTAAGACATGTTCCTATTGAACACTTGAACTCGAGCCAAATTGTGTCTATCAAACACGTCTTGCGCTCCTACAGGGCAAACTAAACCAAACTGTGTGACACATGGAAATATTTCTTTTAAAACAAAACCTCTCTTTTATCTTTTTTATTTTTTTCCTTCAGAATCTCCTTCCCCCTCCCCCAGACCCCTCCTTTCGTCTTCTCTTTAGTCCTTACCCCTCCCCCTGCCCTTCTTCTTCGCGTCCTTATGACTTATCAATAATCACTTCTTTTATTTTCTTTTCAAAATCAACAATCAATTTCACCATATTGGATTAAGTCATGAATATTTTTCTGGAGATGACTCCAAACACAATGATAAGATATTGGGTATGGAAATTTTGTGGAGATTTCTTCGACGGATTCTTTCTTGTTTTTATAACTTCTCTCTCTTGTCCTTATCTTCTATTTTTTTGTCTACGTGGTATACATACAGAAAATTACTCTCTAAGTTTCTGACTTTTGATCAATGAAAAAAGTAGAGCAAAAAGAAGGAAAATAGTTCATATCATTCTTCAATAAAGAATCGCCGGAGATTGAAGAATCTTTTTTTTTTCATTTGACAGTATGACAGTCGCCGGCACTAACAATTGCGATGAAGTTTTCATGGTTGGTGTTAGGTAATGCTCTGATGGTGAATGTGAACTTGGAAAGATAGCTCGTTGGACAGTGACAACTTTCAGAAGTTGCAGTTGACATAAATGGTGGAATTCCGGCGTGGACGAGAAAATTCTGAAAATTCTCAACTTAACTGTTATGGAATCATCGAAGAAGGAGATGATGGATGAAAGACAATGCGGATTACATAAACAATATTTTTGTGTTGTTTTGTGGCTCAAAAATGCAAATTGCAAGAAGGTGGATGGAGCCGGAGGGTGGTGGGGTGGTTGCTGGGAAGGAGATTTTTTTTTGTTTTGTAAATAATGGCCTCACACGCTCATAATACGTGTGGCACACACACTGTGCCATATCACCAAAATGTGTCTGATAGGTACAATTTCGCTCAAGTTCAAGTGTTCAATTGGAACAAGACATAATTCAGGTGTCTAAGTGAAAAAAATGAGCAAGTTTAAGGGGCTGCTTATGTATTTGGCCTATTTTATATGTTTCCCCGTGACTGCATGTGGGAGAGATAATTAAGGACGACTTATGGCCCAATCCACTGACATATTTTAACAACGTAACATGTTTCCTTCCATTCTAGGTTATGTGACGTGATTTCCATCCTTCTTTCTTCTTCAAGCTAAGAGAAACTTGTGCTTTGTTTGTAGGAAGCTGATAAGGAAGATTCTGATGGAGAAGAGGACGATGAAGAGGTAAAGTAAACATTGATGAGATTAAACTACCTTCCTTTTTATAGTTGTTTGATATGGAGCTTCTGGTTTTTGTGCTAAGCTTTTCTGACTTGCCTATTGGATTTTCTGATTCTTTTTTGGGTTAAATTTACTATGATGTTGTTCTGTCCTTTTGTGCATTCCTATCTCACTGTTCCTTATTAAAATTTAAAACATTTATTCGCAAAATAGATGGTGCATGTGTCATGAAACAAACACAGACAGATGCATAATTAACTGTCTCCAAAATAAAGTTTTTGGTTATCTGGGTTAGCCATTTTATATTTGGATTTTTATTGAGCTTGAATTTTCTCAACCTAGGCACTACTACTGTTGAATCTTGGCTCTGACCATAACCTTTTCCTTTTAAATGCTACAGCCAGTACTACATAAGTTTCATAGAGACATGGAAAATGATGCATTGTGATGAAGTTGACTGTGTTTGGATTTCTTCGGAGATAGTGATGAAACATGGGAGTGTCAATGATCATAGTACCGGTAAATCTGATGATTCATTAAATCGTTAAGATGAAAGAAGGATGTTCATGTATCCAAAAGGTGATGGGGACATAGGCAACTAGTAACGAGAGTGTAAGTTGAGGGATTAGGGGAAGTAACCTAAAAAAAAATTCTGCTGAAGAATCTGCACTTTTAGAGGTAGTTTAGTACCTTTTGCTTCCACGATACAGAGATTGACTTTATCCCGAACACATATATTCATCTTTTACCATCAAGAAAGTTGATAAGGAAGGGAGTTGGGGCAAATTGGGAAACAAACCTACCCCTCTACTTTCATATATTGTCTACATATCAAGTGGACCAAAAAGAACAACAAGTGATTTAAATAAAAGGAATTTGGAAGATTTTGGATTACTTAACAGATCAAGGGTTATTTTTAAAACTTGCTGATTGTAGGGGTAAATTTGGCCCAATAGTATAACGGTAGGGGTAAATTTGGCCCGATAGTATAACGAAGGTTAAATGCAGACACTATATGAAAGTAGAGGGGTATATTTGGCCCTTTTTATCAATGCGGTCCAAGCTTTAGCAGAAGTCAAAGCTAGGAAATTGAATATGAAATACCTAATTGTTTGTTTGTATGACTTCTCCTGAGGAAACAAGACCTTACAGAAAACTAGCTCATCACATCCAACCATAGGTAAATGAATTATGATTTTAGGTGTGTGATGGTTTGCTATAGAATTGCCTCTCGTCTATGCATCCTGCAGAAAGGAGTTGTCCGATTCGGACAACAGTCAAATAAGTGTTTTACATCTAAAGTTACATATAATTATGTTCACAACTTGTGTTACAGGCTTGGTGTTATTTACATAACGAAGGTTGAAGATGAATTACCTTAAGGAGATTGAAAATGAATTGCCTAAATGCTTTATGCTTTTCAGCTATTGTTGTATATGCTATAATCTGAAAATGCTATGACAGTTGAAGTTTGGTGGTTATAACATCTTATATAGTGGGCTTTTCAACTAATCTTTTATTCCTATCAACCAGGTAAATGTGGATGATGAGGATGATTGTTGAACTCTTCATCATCTCTTTAAATTTATCCCTTCTTCCAAACTTTGCTCATATCAGTGTCAAATATAATTTTCAGTTGATAAGACAGTTAAAAAACCTATTTTGTAGCCAGCCAACTTCTGTTAGATTTACCTGTGATGAATATGGTAGCTGTTTTCGTGCCCGGAAACTCTTTAGTCCAAGCCTCATTTGATTGGCAAGTTGTACTTTTCGTTAGTAAGCAGGACTATGGTGCTCCACAATGTGTGTTAGGTTAAAAGCTGCTCTTTGCTCAGTGATTCACCCGCCACTGGCCACTAGATCCAGGATATTCACCTTATTTTCAGATCTGGTGGCTCGGTTGATTCGCGGCTTTTTTCCTATTCCCTTCCCATTTTTCTTATATAGTCCGTTTTTCAAGTAATTAATACGCCAGCGCCTACTTGTGTTTGGTTGAAAAGCTCCATACCCCCCCTTTCTTTTCTTTTTTTTGCTGGGAAGAGGTTAGTCTCAAAGGTAAAGGAAAGTAGTTGATTTGATGTTCTCCAAAAAACGACAATCTCCCTGTAAGCTTATCTCTTGCATATGAATTTTCTTGATGGACATGTTGACTGTGTAATTTTGCTATATTTTTCGACCGGATTTAAATTGATAATGAGACCTTTTAGTTAAAAACTTTCTGCAAAAATTACCCCCAAAGAGTCTTAGGCCGTATGTTAAAAACAGATTTTGATTTCCTAAAATCAAATGAAAATGTTAAACGAAAATTGAAAGTAATCAGGAAGTATGCCTTCCCAGATCTTCTGACTTTTAAAATTACCCGACATTGTTAATTTTCAAAATCTGCGGTAAAGAAACTTTGACTTTGCACTTGGTTTGTAAATATACCAAGTTAATTTAAAGAATAAATTGGTTAACACCCAATAGAGGTATTAATTTAAACTAATAAATATAAGCACATCATTTTTTGATGGAGTTTTATCACTTAGTCTTGGTTAATTGATTTTATTTATTTAAAGTTGAATAACTTTTTTTTAAATGAAAACGATTTAGTGCATATTCTCTTATATATTGTTCTAAAGAATGTCAAAATTAACAAAGTAATAAAATGAAATGCTTTAAAATTCATATAATTGATTCACGATTAAGAAAATAAAAAATAAACAAATATAAGCTATTCCGGTCTAATACTTTCTTCTTGCAGTTAAAATAATTACGTCCGGTAAGGTGCCATGCGCATGGGGCTAAGCTAAGTACGTGACGATTGCCATCGATTGTTGGGGGCAACATCANTTTGGCAGCGGAACTGCGAGGCCTCGTGCAAGTAGCGCCGCAAGGTGCCGTGCGCACGGGGCTAAGCTAAGTACGTGCCGATTGCCATCAGTTGTTGTGAGTTGTGTCTGGCATCGCTCTTGGCGGTTGATGGCTTTTGGCAACGGAACGGCGAGGCCTCATGCACGTAGCACCGCAAGGTGCCGTGCGCATGGGGCTAAGCTAAGTACGTGACGATTGCCATCGATTGTTGGGTGCAACATCGGGTGGCGGCATCGCTCGTGGCAGCTGATGGCTTTTGGCAATGGAATGGCGAGGCCTCGTGCAAGTAGCGCCGCAAGGTGCCGTGCGCATGGGGCTGAGTTTAGTACATGTTGAAGGTCGTGCGGTTGTTGTGGGTTATGTCTGTGGCTTTTATTTATGGCGCCTTGTTCGTTTATATACTCCAACGGTTCGTGCTTGGCGGGGCTTGTCTTGGCTTTGCAATGTTGGCATTGGCAACAACACATGGTTGCGTANTTTTATTTATGGCGCCTTGTTCGTTTATATACTCCAATGGTTCGTGCCTGGCGGGGCTTGTCTTGGCTTTGCAATGTTGGCATTGGCAACAACACATGGCTACGCGTCGCGTGTTGGGGCTGTTGTCGGCATGTATCGGCGAGGCAAGTGTACGTGCGGCACATGAGTGGTGTTCGGCTTGTGTGGCTAGGTTGGATCCCTGCTTGTGCAGCGACGTCCTAGCCCGCATGCCATCTCAGTCATGGCACAAATCACTCCGTTCCAGTTTATGTGAACCTATTTCTTTTTTGGTCCGTTCAAAAAAGAATGACCCAGTTCTAAATTTGGAAATAATTTAGCTTAAACTTTCAATTCTGCCCTTGATAAAAAGCTTTTATAACCACACAAATACTATTGACCCTTTTCTGCCATGTTTAGGACCACAAATTTCAAAAGTATTCATTTTTTTTTTAAATTTCATGTCCAGTCAAACAGATTCACGTAAATTGGAACAGAGGGAGCACGACGTATAGCCCATAGGCATAGGAGCAAAATATCCCGGTCCCAGTTTTCACTTCTCAGGACCCCATTCTCAGCTCTTTATCTATCCCTCTTCGTCCGTTGAACAAACTCTGCAAATTTGAAGCTTTGCTTCACAATTAAAAATTGCAAGTGATATTATCATCTAACCAAACAACACCTCCTCTTCAGCCCAATAGAAATCATCAACCACCCGTTTCCTGCTCATTATCACAAACATGAAACAACTCAGCAATTTTGGGCCGTAGAGAGCTCTGCTTCGATAGCATTTCTTCGGCCTGCTCTGCACCACATTTCCCCTCCTCCATTATATATATAACATCATGACATGCCATTAATGTTAGAGTATTGTTTACCCTTAAAATCGGATAACAATTAAATTTGTAAGTGATTTTAAGGATATGTGATTTCACTTGGCACAAACTGAGAAATATAAGAATTGAAGTTAGAAATTAACTATAAAATGAAGCAAACTAATGTAACGCGCAACTTTGGCCCTCGAGCTAGGTCGCCCTCGAACCAACTGAGTATATTATTGAAAAGCAAGAACTGAACAATTGAATAAGAGAGCTTAAGAGAGAAAACGTAATATATTGCTTTGTTATGCGCGTGTCCCTTTACAAATTGATTGTAACCCCCTTTATATAGTAGAGGAGTTCTATATATGGTACAATTCTAAATACATAAGGAAATCTTCTAATTGGCTAATCAACCGGTGTTGACTTGATATATGCCGAGATCTCCGCCACAATCCTCGCCCTGTCACGGATTCCTCAGCTTTTTGTTATTCGACCTAGCAAGCTTCCTTCGATCTCGCTAGATCCCTATCCTTCTCGGTCTCGACCTTAGCTGGTCTCGATATCGATCGATCCCTGAATCACGAGCTAGGCAATATTTATTCATGTAACAATCCAATATAACTTAGGATTGAACCTCGGTCTGCCACCTCGGTCTCGATTAACCATACAAAATCGGGTAAGCACGATTTTGACTGTATACAGATAGTCCCCTCGTTTTTTGGAGAGTAATGACAATAAACGATTTGAGCCTTTGATCATGACGTAATCGTCGTGACATAAGAAGTAGAAGTGACAGAAACGTCTCGTCGGCACAGTTTCCCAGGTGTTTAATGCGCGTCAGTCGACGGTCAGCCACTACCAGTTTTGAACCGTCGTTTGTGAAAAAGATAAATAGCCTTCTTCATTATTTCAAACTTTACTTTCAAATCTTTTTCATTCTAATCTCCATAGTTCTTTGCCTTTTTCAATGCTTCCCATCTTCAAATCTTTGAGTTTCTTTGCTTGTTCTTCCTAAAACACCAAATACTTCAGTCTCCATTCTTCTTTGTCCACAAAAACTAAATGACTAAAACATCTAAAATTGTTCCACAGAAAAAGGCTGCTTCCTCATCTTTGTCGGCCGACGAGAAACCAGTGGTGGAGCCACGCCCTGAAGAAATTATTCCCGGGGGAGAGGGGGGTCATAGATTTCGACTTTAAGGTCGAGAAAACCTCATCGGTTCCTGGTCGATGCGAGCCGATATTTAGATACATATGCTCGATACCCAAAAGTCTTCTTGATCTGGTGAAGAAAGATTGCTATTGGAAAAACAAAGAGGTTGTGATACCAGCACCGGAAGAAGAGATCACTACTCATGTTGAAGGGTACCTGAGTGTTTACACTTATCCTTTCACGCTGGGTCACCTCGATCCGGTCATCGTTAATTTTTGCATGAAATACCAGGTGATCCTTGACCAAATTCACCCTTCTTTCTGAAGGATCGTGACACTGCTCCGTTTCTTTGTGAGCAAAATCAACGAGCTTCCCTTCACCCTCGACCACCTCGTAAGATTATATAGCCCTCGACTCTATTGAGGTGGGCTAATAAAGCTTCAACGCTGGGCCACCAAGGCGTTCACCTCGAGTATAGATGAAGACAAAGATCGGGGCTGGATGGGCCGGTTTGTTCGGGTGAAGACCTCGGACCTAATCCCGGCTGAGAGTATGCCATTTCCTCATAAATGGAATATGAAACGTAAGTATGATCCCATTTTTAATTTTTTTTTTTACTTTTTCATCTTTTCTTATCAGTATTTTTCTCGACACAGCCGTTTCTTGGATGCCGGGTGCGGTTCCCCACCTCAAGAACTGGGTCAAGAGCCTATTTCTACGTCAACATACGTCGAGCGCGCGTGGCGCAATTTGTCAAAGGGCCGGTGGGAGGCTCGTAATCATGGTAAGCCTTCTTCTTGGCTTACCGATTTGCCTATCGTTCAAGCATTTTTCCTCAAGTATGAGTTTATTTTGCTTTCTCCTTTTGTAGGTCACGGAAAGGATGTGGTTTTGAGACCCTTGTCCGATGATGAAGAAGCTTTACCGCCAATCCCGAAACCGGCGATGGTGATTAAGAGAAAAAGGGCCTCAGACTCCGAGGGTAAAAAACCCAAGAAGAGAGCGAACCGTAAACCTAAGGGGAACACAATCCCACTGACTATGGAGTCAGTCCAAAGACTAAGTGATGAAGAAGAAGAAGAAGAAGGTGGTTTTGGGCTGGTGGCCCGTGCACGAGCTGACACCGATATTCAGAAAACTTCGGGACCGGTGGGAGCTGATATTGCTCTGTCTAGGGTCGATGAGGTCAAGGAGGAGACTCCGTCCCAAATTCCTGGGCCGAGGAGGTCGAGGATGCCGATGCACAAATCGAGCTTGAGGCTCATCAAGACGGAGACGGCGCCCCAAAACCTACTCGAGGCAATAGAGATCAGGGATTCTCCCTCGTTTCCTTCATTTTCCCAGTCGATGATACGTGATGCTCAGGCCGTAGAGACTTGTCACGGGGAGGGAGCCCATGGAGAGGAAGATCCTTTTCGTGGTTATTTTGTTTGGGTAGAAGATGTCACCGGTCTGAGTGACTTGGAGGCTCCGAAGAAGAGCTCAGTCTAGGTGGGAGTTTCTTGTCTTTTCAACGAAGCTCAACAGGCCCTGAATCGGGTAAGTTCATTTTCTCTTTGTTAATTTTCATACTTGTATTTTTCTTTCCTTGTATAATTCCTTTTTCCTATTTTTGTAGGCCTCTATGCTTCATCACGAGGTATTTTTCCAATACCGAGGGGAACTGAGCCGGTACGAAACTGAAATCTGAAGGCTTACTGAGGAGAGAGATTCCTTCAAGCTACTCAGTGAGTATAGAGTAGGAGAAGCAAAAGGGCTTCGAGCTGAGCTAGAAGCAGCTCGGAGAGAACAAGCCAATTTGTCCGAGCAGGTAAAAAGATTCTTTGAAGTTAATGACACTGAC